CCCCCTTTTCCAAATTTTAATATCGACTCAAAATAATTTAAAAAGACAAATTACAATAAAACGGTTTATTATCCAACTATCAGAAATTTCACAACATGCCAAAGAAGAGAGGAAGGAGCAATTAAATAATAGAAATTATAAAGGATTAAAATATATATATATATATATATATATATGGGGAATATCGCGCTTCTGACAATCGCTGCGAGTGTGTGGGTTAAATTTGGAGAATGCGTGTTTCTCGCGTGGACAACTGTATGTGACCAGCTAACGCGTCGGAAACCCTTCTGATTTATTCGTGTACGCACCATACGGAAAAACAAAAAATATCGTGTATCCACAGAAGTGCTCCAATAAATAAATAGAATTGAAATGACACTTTGAAATATTTTACTGATGAAAATGAATAATAATAATAAGTTTCAATAAAAATAATAAAATGTAAATTGAATTTTATCATAACGAGTTTGCTTGAATTTCCTTTCTTCTGAGATTGCAGCAATGCGCGACGGGTAAGCTAGTATATTATAAAAATATTGTGTTTATTCTCATGGAAAATAACAAACTTACTTTCCGAACAACCCAATAAAATAAATAAATAAAATAAAATAAATAGTAATGAGCAAATTCATAATTTAAGAAGATATATATCATCTTAAATTATGAATTTGCTCATAAGTAACAAATATATATATTTGTTACTTATACAAGAAAGAACCAATTTAAAAAATGTAATAGAACAGCACTAAATCAAAAATTTATTTATTTTAAAAACAAAAATGTATCAAATAAACAAATAATTCATCTAAAATATTTGTAAACATATTAATATGTTTCTGTGGTTATATATTTATCATCATTTTTTTTTTTAATCATTATTAACATTTAAAAGCAGATGTCCTGTTTTGTTGTTTGCTTTCAATCACATTCATTATTATGTGTGTAATGCATGAATAAAGTGTGATATGTTGAGGTTTCTCATCATACCATATCATTTTACTTGTGCATTATGTTAGAATGCTATAATGTGTTGACAGCATTTGTATCAAGAGGAGTTTGACATACCTGCTTAGACTTCATACTAATAATTAATAAACAAACATAATAGTCATAAGAATGATTGCTAAGATAATTTATTTATATTAAATTTTTAATGAATTCTGCATTAGCTTGCAAGTGTTGTTGCAATTCAGAAAACTAAAATAATACAAATGTATTATTTTAGGTTTTTGAATTATTTCTGGTTCATATTTAAGTTACAAAGTTTGATATAATAAAATGAAATTTATTCTATTGTATCAAACTTAAAAAAATAGTTCAAAACTAAATATTTGCATCACCTCAAAAGTCTGTGATTATCTATATTTAGAACCATTATCTAGACAAATTCAATTAAACTTATATTCAGTAGAATAAGGTCCTTTATGAGCTAATACAGAAGTCATAAACAAAAAAAAAAGATTTTTTTCAATAATTGGAATAACCTTAGTTTTTAAAATGTTGAAGTAATAACTGATTTTTTATGTATTTAAGTATTAATTAAATTTATTATATAGAATATTGCAATAATTTTATATTTAAAATTAGAGTTGTTGAATTTGCTTCATATGGTGATATGAAAACTGCAATAGAAAAGCTTGACAATACTGAATTGAATGGAAGAAGAATTAGATTAGTTGAAGACAGACCAAGGCATAGAAGGTAAATATTCTTTTATTCGTAAATAATTTGTTATAATTAAAAGATGATAACATTTTTCAATAAATACTATACATGGAAAGCAGTGTCTAACATTTTGACTACCAGATACTACTATTCCTGTTGTGAGTAGTTATAACAAATTAGTGGGTGCCAGGAATGAGAACGATACATCAATTGGGTGTTATAGAACAAACTACAGTAGAGTGTCGTTTATCAGAATCAATTGGGGATGGGTTGTTCGGATAACTTATTTTTTGGATAACTGATTATATACAAAAAAATATATTAACCTATCCCGTGTTGAAATTTTTCTCCGTTGCGTCTCTCTTTGCATTGAATTTTCATCAATGTTAAGCCTAACATAAACTTTTTAAAATAATAATCGTGGCTATTGTATCATTAAAAATTATTTCTTTATTTTTTACAAACAAAATAAAAAATATAAAAACAAAAAAAAATTATACTTTAGAAGTTAATCTAGTACAGGGGTGGCCAACAGTTTTTGCCCCCAGGCCGAATTGGAAAGAGAACTTTTTTCACAGGCCGAACCAGAGGCTGCCCTAGGAAGATTTTGAGGTGGTGCGAGATCTCATTGTGGTGTCACCCTGTAGAGACTGAATTGTACATAGAGATTACAGATACATTTTTCACATTATCATGCTTTATCAATATTCTATGCTGTACTTAAGAGATTTTTTGTAATGGAGGGTTAAATCTAACCGGACAGCAAGATGTTTACCTTGTTTTTTTTTTTAGGCATTAGAAGTATTTTTACCAATCTATTCTGACTTCAGTAGTTAATATTGAAAGATTGATCGCGGGCCACATCCAGCCTGTGTGCCGTATGTTGGCCATGCCTGATCTAGTATCAAAAATGCTAGATTCAGCATGACATACAATCCTCAGAAAAAGACCACACAAAAGTGCCAGTGCTGCCAGCTAAAACACACACACCAACACAAAAAATATTGGAGTAGCCCAAGATATAGCGAAAGATTGCAGTGCCACAGCACTAGCAAAAATTTAAATTTGCCGACTGGAATGCTTTCAGATAAACGATGCTCTACTATATAAAGAAGTTTAAAATGTTTTTTTATTGTCAGATATGATTATTTTTGTAGTAAATATACTAGTAAAGTGGCTAATTTGTGCCAGGAATATGAATTACAAATTAATTTGGTATTGTGCTAACCGAGGGGGCTGAAGCGGAGAGCTTCTCCCCACTTACCAGCTTGGCTGTCAGGAAATGGCTATAGGAGGGCAAAAGGAGTGGGAGGCGTAATGAGGTGTCGGTAGTACACAATAAGAGTCATTAAATTAGGAATAACACATTTATTATAAACTTAAAAATAATACAAATACATTAAATTTACACATTAATTCTAAACAATATGTAAGCGACAATTATAATAAATTCCAAGTCGCGACAATATCGGACAACCGATGTCCGTTTATCCCGCAAGTGGGACCATCGAAGGTCCTCGACACAAAATATGACTAAGTCCTAGCAAAAGGAACAGAACAAATATTTTCTAAGTCTCGAATAAGTCGAGAGACAATATTTTCTAAGTCCCGAGTATACCGAGAGAGAGTGAAGTAAAAACAATCTAAGTATTTACCTCTTTAGGTCGGCGATCAGAAACCGTGAAGTCCTTCCAGGGGAGACGCTTGTAGTCTTCTTTCTCTGATGATCGCACTCGAGATCTCCGATCATTCCCCTTTTATACTTTTTTAGCGTGGGAAATCTCGGGGACTCTTCTGACGCAAACTGTCACTTCTCCCGATTTATGACAGTCTCCCCCGTCATGGGTGACGACAATGCAGACATCGCTTGACCAATTAATGTTAAATTCGTCATCACCTGGGGAGATGACTGACCATTTTTGGTAATGTTCTCACCGTAAGGGTGCCCTTGTAGGTGACCTCTTGTCTACTCTCCATACAGG